CACACCAAAAATAGTGCCGACACTATCCCAAGTAAAGTCATCAAACAAACATGTTGGTGTTTTTTTTATCGAGTGACTATCAAAGATTTTAAAAATTTTCAATCTAAATGATTAAATATGTCATTTGAAGAATAATATACTACTTGAGGGGAGGAAATATTGTCTTGAAATGTACCTAATCATATAAATGAAGAAAATTCTTAAGATTTATTGGTTTACTTGAAAGTGGTTTTCTCCCTACCTTACTAGTGTATGATAGGATTTATTTTAATATAGATTCTAATATCCCTATAAGGGAAAGTTGTTATAGTTAATTATATCTTCATAGCTATGAAATTTTAGAGAAGCTCCAGATTAAAGTATTGACTAATGTTATTCAGATTTCATGATTGGACACTTGAAGTTAGAATTTTCTAATGGTGATGAATGGATCCAAGTTTAGAATTTTAGATGAGTTCAAAGTTTGGGATTTACAATATGATTAAAATGTGTCATGGAAAGGACTATAAGAAAATTAATCAACCCGGGGAGGAAGCTACACTTATTGGCATATATATATATATATAATATATATATATATATAACATGCCCACAAATCTTTTAAAATATTTTAAACAGTTTGTAAAATAACTTTAAAATATTTCAAAATTAAGATTTTTATTATTATTCTAAAATATTTTAAAGCATTTTTAAAATTTTAATGATTTAAATGTTTCAAAGTGCTTTTAAATATTTAAAGTTATTATTATGTGATGTTTAAGAAAATTAAAAATTAAGATTTTTAGAGTTATTTTAAGATTTTTAAAGATTTTAAGTTATTTTATGAAAGGTTTTTTTTTATTATTTTTTTAAAAGATTTTTTAAATTGTTTTTGAATGGTTTTAAATTTATTTTTATTAAAGTATTTTTTAAATTGTTTCTAAGAGGTTTTAAATTTATTTTAAAAGGGTTTTATTTTAAGAAAGGTTTTAAAATTATTTTTAAATGGTTTAATTTTTTTAGAAGGCTTCAAATTTAGCTTTTAAAAGGTCTTTAAATTGTGTTTTTTTTTTAATTATTTTATTTTGTGAAAAATAAAAAAAAGGTTTTAAATTCATCATTTTTACTTTCTTTTTTTTTCAATGGTTTTTTTTCCTTCTAAATTCATAAATTGATGTGTTGACCATGCAAGTTTGTAATTGACATCCTAACAATTAGATTTGTACACTACAAAGAGAACCTGAACATGAGAGATTCTCTTCCTTCCTTTTTATTAATTTTATTATTCACATAATTGACATATAAAAATTATCACATGGGGGATAATGTACACAAAGCACTAGATATATTGGGAAAATTAAAGAAGGAAAATTATATGTAAGAGCATACCAAACATGAGGAAATTTTCAATGAATTAGCTACATATAAGAACATGCCATACATGGGGAACATGAAGTGAACTACACATAGGAACATGTTATACCTTGAGGATTTGTATGAGATAAACTACACATAGGAACATGCTTTACATGGGGAATTCGTTGAGGAAAACTACAAATAGGAACTTTTTATGCATGGGGGACTGCATGATGTAAACCAAAAATACAAACATGTTATACATGGAGGATTCAAATTATGTAAACTACACATAGGAACATGTTAGACATAACAAATTCACGTGACGTAAACTGTAGATAGAAACTTTCTATATATGGGAAATCGCATGAGGTAAACTACACATAGAAATATGATTTCAAATAAGCAAAACTACATATAGAGAAGATCTTACTTGGGAAAAATCACTTTAATATAATATCTCATATACACAAAATCAATGAAGAGAAGATCTCACATACATAAAGTCTACTTAAATTTCACATACTTTTGAACATAAAGAAGAAAATATATGGAGATTACTTAAAATTTTCATCTTTGAACATAGAGGAGAAAAAACATGAATGAAGAAAATTCCATATTGAATTCTACACCATAAAAAACTAAGTATTTTACATAAGGGAACTTATGAAGGAAATAGATAGTAGTGAAGAAAAAGAAACATATTGAAGAAAATGAAAAAGTCAAAGAGAAGAAGAAGACGAGGATTGAAAAAAAGAAGAAGAAGGAAGAAGAGAAGAAGTGAAGAAGTGAAGAGGGGAAAATTACAGAAGTGAAGTATATAAGAATAAGGAGTAGAGAGAGACTTAGGGTATGTTTGGCGCAGCTGTAGCTTATTTAACAATTTGCTGATAAGCTGATTAAAAATAATCTGTTGATAAGCTAGGTGCGGTGTATAATATTACAAATTTTTTTTTTTT